TAGGGTGAGACAGGGCAGATTGAGATGGTTTGGAAATGTGGAATGGAGAGAGGAGGATGACTGGGTTTCAACATGTAGATATGTGATAGTTGACGAGGAGAAGGGTAGAGGATGAGGAGGAAAAACTTGGAAGGAGTGTGTGGCAAATGGCATGAGAAAGATAAGGTGGAGAAAGGAAGATGCACAACACCGCTATGTGTGGAGGAGTGGCATCTTTGAAAACCGTGCAAGCGCGGAAGCACGGTCGTTAAAACGATGATGATGATTTAAAATAAAGAGATTCAGCTTTTGAGAATTTTCATTTAATTTTTTGTATGGTTATTTAAAACTCTTCATTGACTTACAATTTGATTTAAAATGCATTAAAATTACTTTTGCAGTGAAAAACGTTTAGTGAATGCTTTTTGTCTTATTTAATTTTTATCATTTCTTTCTTATTTATATGCAGAAATTTGTTATATCTATTTCTGTTTGAAATTTAGTGTTGCGTTCAGCAGTTACATTTGGTTCATTTTTTTATTCTATTTAATGATGAAGCCATATAACTAGCTTTAAAAGATTTATTCAGGTTTTTGATATGCTTATTTTCAATTTATTTACATAACATGAAAATGAACAAAAGTTTACCACTCCAAAGCAAAAATATGTCCATGGTCAGGATGTACTTTGTGTTGAGCCTATTTAGGATTGTATTAAGTGTGTGTGTGTGTGTGTGTGTGTGTGTGTGTGTGTGTGTGTGTGTGTGTGTGGGGTGTGTAAAGTTTTTTTAAACCTGGCATCATCAACAATAAAGGTTTTGTTTTGGTTTGTGTGTATTCGTGTATCTTTGTGTATACCAATGCTGGTTTTTTTGGTTTGCAATGCTTAATTTTCTCTTAATCTTAATAACAATTATAGAATGAACTCGCCAATCAATAAATGAGCTTGTTGCAACTTTAGTAATTTTAAACATAGTAGCTGTTAACAATAACAATATTGATAATTCTGTAGAACTTGATAAACCATATTGTAATTTTTTTTCTATTCTGTGTAAACCACAAAATTTATTTTCTAGTTTTTTTTGTATTTCTTGTTTATATATTCATAAATATTCAAAGCTGTTGTTCAGTTCATTCTTTTCAAGTTCATTTAATTCTTTTCCAATAATTCCTTGATAATATTTATTCAAAAAAGTTATTTGAAATATTTTTTTAATATCTAATATTCCACAGATGAATTTGGTTCCCTCAAAATCCCCGATGTTGTCACGTTTGCTGGAACTGTTCCGCAACAAAATTTAAATGATGAGTTGCAACAAAATAATATTAACCAACCTATAGGGCCAAATGTAAATGATGATTTACAACAAAATATTATCAGTCAACCTCAACAACACATAAATCAATCATCATTCAGTAAGCAATCTGTTCAAATGAACTCATTTAAAAGTATATCATCCCAACAACCTTCTACATCAACGCTGCAAACAAGCTTCTCAACTAATGCAGGTCTGTCCACACAATCAAATCTAACATCTGCTGGTTGTGTACAACAGATTTCAACCAGCAGTCAATCATCAACGACAATGACTAGCCAGCAATATATGTTCAACAAAGCAATAACCTTTACTACTACAATTACAATCTCATCTGTCAACCAGCCTCTGATGTCTTCATTTTCTTTTTCACAAAGTTCTAATTCCTTGCCATGTTCTACAAAGTTACAATTTGGGTCAAGCATAGCATCGCTATCAACACTGTCAGTTATGTCAACAGTGACACAAACTAATGCTCCTCAATTTTCATTTGGTTTTAATCTTCCAACTGCAAAATCACAAAATAGTTCAACTGATTTGTTCACAAATTCTCAGCAAACGTTTACCGGTTTGCAACCAAGTTCAACAATTTCTACATCATCAGTTGTTTTTGGTGCATCCAAACTTGCCAAAACAAACTCATTCTCGACAGGTAATTCAACTACTTTTAATTTTGGTCCCGTTTCTTCTTTGGCCAGTTCTGATCAGCAACAGAACTCCACTTCATCATCAACAGTGTTGTTCAACTCCACCTCACAACAATTAAGCTCCATTTCCACAGCACCATCTTCATTCAATTTTGGTTCTAATTTTTTGCAACAGTCAACATCTGCTTCGCAGTCTTCTTTCAGTTTTGTTACACATAAATTTACAAGGCCTGATATAAGTGAAGCATCTTCTTTTGTCTTTGGATCAGCAGTGCAAAATGGCATTCAACAACAGTCATCTCAGCCATCTTCTTTTAACTTTGCGCAGCAGTTACCACTTCAAATGCAAGCTGATAAGCAGCAACCTACTTTTCTAGGATTTGGAAAATCTTCCTCTTCCTCAATAGATATGAAGGTTTCTTCTATTATTGATAGTTTTGGCTTGACATCATAGAGTTGTGATG